CAGACATGACGTGCGAAGAACGGAGATACCAGGGTCGAAGAATAGAGGGCTTGTTGTCTGGTATATAGTAGAAAATTTTGAAACACTCTTTTTACCCTTGGCCGGCTTTGCAATACTTATCTCAGTTAAGACCTCTTTTCTTGTGTTAAGTCAAAGAGGCAAATTTGCCATCAAGAATGTATGAAATTAGGCTACGAAATGCAACCAGCCCATATCAGTCACACAAGAAGTGCTCTGCTGTTGTTACTTGGTAGATAACCTTAGACAATTAAGAACGTAACGTCTACATGGGAAAACCGGAAAGTCTGGTTGGAAAATCAAATAGTTTACGCCATTCTGTTTGCGATCCTAACTCTGTTCAGCTGATTTCTGGATACTTTTTAGCTGGTCGCTCTCCCTTCGAGTTAATTTTGATAGTTTAAGACGGAATCCACAAGAAAATTGAGTAGTTTTATTTTTCAGTGGACAAAAACCTTTGACCAGAATAATTTCAAGAATATTGCATTCTTTTTTACATTTTTCAAGGGCTATAGATGTAATTAGTCTTATTATATAAACACCAGTGAAGTACCAGGTGAGCTTTCGCGCGAAAACTTGGTATCTTCACATGTGAAAATAACATGTTATCTCCACATGTGAAAATATCACCGTTGCTATGGCTACATAATAAATCGCGCCTTTCACACCAAAAAACTATTAAAGTGAAAGGTTTGGTAGTTCATAGGTGTTTATATAATAAATAGAATATTACATGGCCTCTTGAAGATACGAAATTTCTCTTCGAGTGTTGAAATATTTTTTCAACACGAGAAGAGAAATTTCGTATCTCCGACGGCCATGTAATATCCTCTATATCTGTGATAACACCAAAGAATATTCTTATGGGAGCCCGACAAAATAAATGTCAAATTTCACAACATTACATCTTGCGCATGAAATTTTCAGAATTTCACCTGTGTTTTCACAATTGTTGTGAAATTTGACGTTCATTTTCTCGGACTCCCTCGAGAAAATTTCTTTGGTGTTATTACAGATGAGTAACTACATCTTTAGCCCTTAAAAAAAGAATGCAATATTCTTTAAATTATCCTGGTACAAGGTTTCTGTCCACTGAAAATTAAAATTACTCAATTTCCAGGTGGATTCTGTCTTAATGTTTATGCACAAGATCTCCACCCGGGTGGTTTGTGTAAATTGTAAGCAGCCAATGTTCACCATCATACAGCTGAAAGCTAACTTGAAAACACCGGTATCTGGGACTTTTACGTTCCCCATAATGAAATTTTTTTTCCACAAGAATTTAAGTATTGTTTTCAATTTCTCTTGGATCAAATAACTTTCTTAACGATATGTAATCCATGGAATATGCGGGAAAATTTGCTTTTACTTTGTTATAGTTTTATGGCTTGAGAAAACAGTCGACATTTCTCGATGCCACCACTGGTTTCCCCGGGAATGACGTCTGAGAAACGAGCGCAGAAATTCCATTCGATGACGTAGAGTGATTACCCAGACCTTAGTAGTGCTTCTGATTTGTTAAAGCAACTTTCACACGCGGCAAGACCAATCAGAAGCACTATCCAGATCTGGGTAGCTCGTTTCTCAGACGTCATTCCGTACGGAAACCAGAGGTGGCGTCGCCAAATGTAGGATGTTTTCTCAGGCTATTGTAGTTTTATAGTCAGATTCAATGCACTATATATATACCTTCTTTAAATCTTGGTCCTTCTTCCTTGTCTTCTTTCGTTTGGATACTGCTTTCTGTCCCTACACTGGCCTTTTTGCCTTTTTTCTTTTTTGCCTTGTCATCTAAGGTGGACCTCATATTCACGCTGACCTTGGTGTTATCTTCATCATGATCAGGTATTTCAGTAATGGCTCTGTCCATCTGGAATATTTTGTGTCCTGTTTCTTCCGAAAGGTCAGTTTCCTTGTCATTTTTTAGTGATCTGGCAATCGGGTTTTCTTCAGAGCTTATTCTTAGATTATCAACATCAGCTGATTTCAAGAATTTCGTTACATTACCATCATCATCACCTACGGATAACAATGATTATAACGTTTACAAGTAAAGTTCTACTAAACGCTTAGTGAATTTTACGTGTTGCTTACAAGCCCTCGGACCTAGGAGTGGCTTAAAAGATTCGACAGAGGCTTATACTCAGAACAGAAAAAGCGCTTCAAAAAAACACGTTTTGCATTTACTAGTTCAGTTAAATTAATGTTCAAATCGTCAGTATACAAAGAAGAATTCGTCTCTACATATTTTGAGGGAGGCTTATAATCGGATATAATTTTTTGTTTGCACGTAGATGGGCCTTTAACTGGGAGGCTTGTAAGTGTGTGTGAGTGTATAGGGGGGGGGGCGCTGCTTCTAAGCGGCATTTAACGGTATACAGATCACCATCATTCTACTCCTAGCGGCCTAACCTCATGATGTTAGTGATAGGTCAAGTACAATTGTCTTGTCTTATCTTATTTTTGTGTACTCTATATTATTCACTTGTCTACCCATATCCTCATTATTGTCACAGAATGTAATTTTGCTTCAGAAACGTATTGTTAGAATTGTTCATAGGGAGAGATTGTATAAGTTAGAGAGATTTTTAGTTTACCATTTTTGTATTCATTCAAATATTTTGTATTTTGCTTTAATTGGCAAAACAAATGGACTAAAGTCGCAACTGGACTAATTACAAATGGCTTTTTTAGTCAACCCACTTACACCTTTATTGGCATCACATTTGCCTAAGTATTTTGAAAAGGATCGGAATTCGATAAACGGCTCGAAAATACTAAAAATTTTAATTTCATGCGACATATCCTACTCAGTCACTTCTGGAGGGTAACTTCTTGCCCATCGCTTATTAATTTCTACTAGTAGTCCATTGCAAATCTTACTGATTTGATTACTTGTATATCTGACCAGATTTTTGGAAATGTTACTGCCGAATGGACCACTTCCGTCAAACGGTTTATTTTTCAGCTAAAAACCAGAGTACGCATTATAAAAAGTAAGAGAGCACATTGTTTTTTCTCTTCTCCTCCTTTCTTCCTCTTCTCTCTTACTTTTTCTCCATTCCTTTTCCTTCGTTAGTGTGAGTTCGAGCTCGTTCTAGGGCGCAAAAAACCTGCCTTTTGACCCTTTTTTACTCGAATGACTTCGGATTTCTATAATATAATCGCTGTCTATTCCTGCTCATAGATAGCGAGTAGAGAAAAACTAGGTTTTCGCCTAAAAAATGCGCCATAAAAGTCATCAAAAAGTGCTCTTATATATGGTTCTAATCTATTAACAATAGAATAATTCTATTCTACCCACTGATCGATGAAAACAATCCATAACACCATCATCTATCATGATTACCTGAAAGAACTCTTTGTATCATTGTCTTGGCGTCATCAAAAAAGCAGTCATCACAGCTTGCACTCTCCACATCAGGGCAAGCAAGTTCATCTTCAAAATTTGACTTACGTTTAAGAGTTTTTGCTTGTTGTAGCGCTGTCGTTTTGTCTGTTAGCCTTCCAACTAGACTATCTTGAGTTTCGTATCGTCGGGCCGTCGAAATCATCTCAGTAAAATTATCTTCCTTAACATAACTATTTCCAGGAGGCGAGATCTGTATTTCTTCTTCTGAGAACACTTTCGACTCGATATGGAGGGCAGCTTCTCGACCATCGTTTTTCTTCTTGTGCTCATCTCTGGGACCCACTACTACCGCTCCAGATGACACGGCACCTGAGGATCGTCCATCGTTTTCTTGAACTACTTGAACTCTGGGTTTCTCCTTTGATTCTTCCTCTCCCTGGCTTCCTGGATTTCCTGCTGGCGCTAGGGCATACGAATCGAATAGTTAGTATTCCAGGAATTCATTTTGACCTGAAAGGTAGTGCTGAGGATGTTTACAAGTGGTTATTTGAACTTTTCACCATTTGTCTCACCCATGACAAATGTATTTTCATGGAAGAAAATTATCCTGTTCTCTACTCCTCCGAAATTTTAGCCTAGACTACAGTGAAACGCTTTTCACAGTCCTTGAGTAAAAGACTGAAGTTCACGCACCAGGAAATACTCTAACTCGTGAATTTGTCTACTCTAGGTCATAGTGCTGATCAAACGAACTTAAACTGCTTTTTGTTCAAGCGATTCATCTCGATACACGATAATTAACCTTTATATTAATTTAGACCCTATGGTTCATTCATATTAATGTACTGTACTATACTTCCCCCTCCCATTACAGTGTACGTATTCAAAACACCTTAAGTAAAAGACCCTTTGTGTATGTCATGTGAAGTTTCCAGTTTTTTAAAGTTCCTATTTTCGGTGACTTAAGAAAAAGGAATGTATGGCGAGAAACTTAAAGCGAGCTGTGAACTTTCAAATTTTATCGAAACTCGCTAGTGCTGACATAAGTCGTGCTTGCTGAAGAGGCGAAGGAAAGTAACTAGCCTTAGTACTCTATTTCCTATTTCTCTCAAGTTGGTCTTTGAAGCTCCCGGTGAAGCTTTGCATAGTTGCAATCTAGTAAAAATCACATCGATGCTTGCGGCCTCCACATTTTCCCGCCCAAAATAGAGCGGCAAGCGACAGGCAAAACTTTTAATTCTACCAAAAATTTCTAGAAGCAATTTGTAAACAACAATAAAACCCGACATTTCACTACCATTCGGACTTCTTAGAAGTCAAAGTTAAAAAAGTAATACAAAACAAAATTAAACAGACTACAACGGGCGAAAAAAATTAGGAAATTGCTAACCGCGAGCAAAAAAAAGAAACCAGTTAAACAATGTTGCGGAGACCGAGATGCATCCACACCGGCACTTGGTAACAACAAGGCTGTAAACTGAAATCCCCTAATATATTCATTGACCAGCTGTCGATCATTTGGACATTGTTGTTGACAAACCGCACATGTAGTAATATAAAGATTAACCCAAGGCTAAAAGCGAAGCTCACTTTAAAAAATTTATAATTAACTTCAAACAATAAACTTGTAACCATTGCAAAGACTTAATCCACTTGGAGTTGAGCCTGAAAACTAGTAACTTGTGTGCGGATAACTTAAAAAAAAAAAAACAGGTAACCTTGATGTGTCGATAACAAAGCCTGACACCTGGGCATGTGATACTGGTGAGCGGATATCTTGCGTGACAGCTGTCAATTGACTACAACATGGATGTGCAATATCAGGTTGTAGGCTTCCATATTACAGTGTAATAAAGTGTGAGATTTGACATTGGTTTCCCTGTGATGCGGACGGACGGGTGGACGGGTGGACGGACGGACGGTCTCCTGACTGCCAAAATTTCTCGGATGGATAGATAACCAAATTTTCTTAGCTATGGGGCTCCGCTTCCCGCCCTAAGCGCGCCCATGGAGCTCCGCTTTCAAAAGTGACTTTCCTCGAATTTACCTGTGATGTCGAGGTCTTATTTTAAATCATGATGTTGAGTGGAAAGGCTAGTGTTTATACTAAGAAAAAACAAGTCACTAAATCTTTCCCAATAACTCTTGCTAGCAGTAGTTTTTCAGTATTGCAAGATGCATGATTACCTGATCGGGAAAACACATGATGTTTCACTGTCTTGCCGTCCTCACTGAAAAAATAGTCGTCGCTGCTTCCAATTTGCAACTTAGGATGGACAAGTTTGTCCTCAAAATTTGAGTTACGTTTAATAGTTTTTGTTTGGTTTAGCTCAGACTTTCTGTCGGTAAAGTTATCTTTCTGTACATAATTTCTGCCACGGGATGAGGTAGGTATCTCTTCTACTGAATGTATGCTTGATTCGTTGTGGAGGGCAGCTTCTCGACCATCGTTTTTCTTCTCGTGTCTATCTCCGGGGCCCACAACTACTGCTCCGGATGACACGGCACTTGATGATCGCCTTTCATCTTGGTGAAGTAATTGAACACCGGATTTTTCCTTCGATTCCTTCTTTTGTTGGTTTCCAGGTGGCGCTTAAATATACAACAATATACAAGTTTAAAGAGTCAGTCGCTTGAAGGTAAAAGTGAGTGCCGTGATGTTAACACCAGGAGTTACTTTAACTTTTGTGGGGGGAAAGGTTTTTGGAAATGAGACTTTAAAAATGTTATGTGAAAAAGCAAAGGAAGGCAAAAAGGATTGACTCTGGAGTTTTAGTCTCATCGACTCTGCTGAATTTCACTGAAACATTTTCATTTAAAATTTTGCATCACCTGAAACCATTATTTGATCGTTTAGCCAGCCCATGTTGTAAATGACAATTACAATGTTGGACTATAATGTTTGGTCATGTTTGATCGTTTAGCCGGGGTCTAAACTTAGAGACAGACCTTTAGAATTTCACTCTGGAAAAATTTGCCAACATTTGTCAAATTAAACAAGCCGGAATAAGAGCGATGAAATTTGAAACGGCGCGAATGTCTTTTTTAAGTGACGTTTTCGCTGCCGTCGCTGTCGTGGTTGCTTGAGCTCCCTATTATCTTACCGTCTTTTCCATGATACTTTTCAAACCAAAGTCGACTGAATTCAAATCTTTGTCCAAAGGGTAATCCGAGTTCCTGGAAAACAAACTACTTGTGAGTCGAGATGAGCCCCAGCATTTACACCATTGCAGGGACACCGATTACAATAGTTATTCACAATACCACATTAATCACCTATTAAAAGAACAGTGTCCCGTTACTGCGCATGTACCAAACTTTGATTTTCTGACAGGATGTCGCGAATTCAAAAGATGAGAGGAGAGTAAAAGAACCGTGAAAAATCCGTTTGCATCGCGCTTGGCCGCGTTAGATACTTCACTAAAACTTCTCAGAATGTCAGATTAATGACATATTGCTCCCGCGAAAGGGACAGGGGGCGAAATCCGGAGTTTCTCAGGGTTGGCGTGGCTTTCACTGCCTTTGGCCATAAGATCAAGATAAGGGACACGCTTTGATGCCGGTTGAAGACTTATTTCTCCCGCCAGCGCAGTTCCAACAAAGCTCAGATGATCGTTAAAGGAATAATAAGCAGAATCCAACCGCAACAATAATGAACTATGTAAGAAAGAAAGGCATTGAGACATGGATGTGACTGAGGAGATCTTGTGGAAGCTTCTTGAACCACGATATGTTGCAACGACGTGTTAGTAAACTTTTAATTAAACCTCCTTACGGCCGACAAAATCAAACAAACAGGCAATCAATGTTTAGGGAAACGAGTGTAATGAAATCGGAATATAATGGTTGACTAATCTTTGCGATGCTTCATCGCGTAGAGATTACATTTTTATTTCGAACTTTTGAGGCTAGAACGCGCGCAAATAGTACTGGACTTGGACTTGCCGCAAATTAACATCTGTCCAGAGTTAAAGTTGTAAACCGGGCGGAACGAGCTTTTTAGGTCGTGAGGCGGCCGAGCAAGCGACAAAATAGCGTGAAGTCTTCATGCCGTGAGCCAAAACTAATAAATAAGACGAAAGACGTTTTCGAAAGTCTAAAATATTACTTGAGAATGTCACAATAAGTCTTTGTCGGTGGTGCGGTCCGAAAGGAAATCTTCTGTTCTTAAGAAAACACAAATTACGCTCGCGAGTGCGCATGATCGGGACACTGTCCCTTAAAGTCCCCCGGGGGCATATTTATTTCAGGCACATTTGAGGGGAACACTTCAGCACGGTTACCGCTATGAAGGCGGGATTAATTCGGTGGCCCGGATGCATACACCGTCTTGCTTTGCCTGCTGTATTTTCGACATCATAAGCATCTCATTTAACTGCAGTGATACACTATTCACAGTTTCCAAAGCTATGATATTCCCGAAAGTTATACCTTTGTGTTTCGCCATGGTTGCTTTGTTTCTCGAAATTCGCACCAGAACTCGTCCCGGCCTTTTTTCATCTCGGAAACCGGGGTGAAATTTCTCATATGAACCCAAAGCGAAATTGGTCCCGGTAACCGGAGTCATGTTAAGAGGCTCTTAATATAGCGTTTTTACATCACAGATGCCACACTGGTATTCCGAAACAAATGAACGGCGGCCATATTGTTGTTCAAAACCAATCCTAGCTCATGGATGGCGTAGTCATTGTATGAAAAAACAAACTTGCGGCACCTAAATAAACCATACCGCCGGGGATCAGTTCACATAAAGTCTTACAGTCGTGTTTAGTAAATACAGTCTAACATTTTTTAATTTGCCTGTAAAATATAAGGGGACAGGGTAGGGGATCTTAACAGAGGAGGGGCGGTTTAATAATTTTATTCCCCTAAAAAGGTGGGCTTATTTGGGAGAGTGGGCTTCATAATGCAGTCAGCGCTCAGCGATGCCTAACGGTAGGTACGTGGTGTAAGCATCATTCATATATAGCATACCTATTTGTAGCACTATACTGCATAGCCCTACATTGCTCTACATAGCCGTACATAGCCATACATAACCCTACATAGCCATACATAGCCATACACAGCCCTATATAGCCCTACATAGCTCTACATAGCGATACAAAGCCCTACATAGCCATACATACTCCTACATACCCATACATAGCCCCACATAGCCCTACATAACCCTACATAGCCCTACATAGCAATACATAGCCATACATACCCCTACATAACCCTACATAGCCCCGCATAGCCATACATAGCCATACAAAGCCCTACTTAGCCCTATATAGCCCTACATAGCCATAAACAGCCCTACATAGCCATACATGCCCCTACATACCCATACATAGCCCCACATAGGCCTACATAGGCCTACATAGCCATACATAACCCTACATAGCCCTACAAAGCCATACATAGCCCTATATAGCCCTATATAGCCGTACATAGCCATACATAGTCGTACATAGCCCTATATAAACCTACATACCCATACATAGCCCAATATAACCCTAAACAGCCCTACACAACCCTACACAGCCATTCATACCCATACTAGTCCTACATAGCCCTACATACCCATACATAGCCCTACATAACCCTACATAGCCCTACATAGCCATACACAGCCATACACAGCCCTACACAGCCCTACACAGCCCTACATAGCCCTAGCCCTAAAAATAGCGGCTCCAGTTATTTCTTTATCGTTAGCTAACCTTTTCAACCTCTCGATCACTACTTTCCGCTATTTAAATCAGGTGAACGAAATGATTCAAATAACTTTAGACCGATTTCTGTCTTACCAACTATAGCCAGAGTTTTTGAACGATTAGTTTATGAGCAGATATACGCCTATTTTACCGTAAATAACCTTATTCAGCCTCGTCAATCTGGGTTTAGATCTCTTCATTCAACTGTAACTGCGCTTCTAGATATGACAAATCAGTGGTGTCTTAATATTGATAAAGGTATGGTCAGTGGTGTTATTTTCCTTGATCTTAAGAAGGCATTTGACACTGTTGACCATGCTATCTTGTTGAAAAAACTGTGTGACTATGGGGTGCAGGGTCAAACCGCTTCTTGGTTCAAGTCTTTCCTAAAAGAGAGACAGCAATTTTGCGTGGTAAACGGATTGTCGTCTGTAAAAAATCGTATCGTATGTGGCGTTCCACAGGGTTTCTTATTAGGCCCACTCTTGTTTGTTATTTACATTAATGACTTACCAAATTGCTTAGATCATAGTACAGGAAGGTCATTTGCTGATGATACAAATTTAACGTTCTCTGCCGTGGATTTGTCAATCCTTCAGACTGAAATGAGCAACGACCTTAACAGAATTTTTAATTGGCTCAGCTCAAATAAACTCACATTGAATATTCTAAAAACAGATTTTATGGTGATAGGTTCTCGGCAGAGAATTGCAACATTAGCTGGAAATATTTCATTAAGTGTGAATGGTTAACGTTACAACAGGTCGAAAGTACAAAGTGTCTTGGTCTCACTATCGACCAATTTCTTACTTGGAGAAATCATTTACAAAGTGTCAGACAAAAGGTGGGGTGTGGCATTGGAATTCTTAAGAGGATTAGGCCTTTTGTTGGTTTCGAGCACCTCATAAACGTATACAGGTCAATAGCT